GGGGACACTCCTTCAATATGAACCTTCGATCACCTTGCTAAGGCGCAGGGATACAACTATTTGAACTCTCCGGAACGCGTGAGGTATGACGCCTCATTTGAAGGCGTTTTCGAATCTTCTCTATTTACATGACAAGATTTTCCAAATTGTTTTGCAGTATATTTGTACTTTAGATTTGAGTTCCTTTTATTATTTAGTTAAAATATTCCTGCTTCTTTATTTTTATTTATTCTGCAACAATTATCTTTTTGCGAAATACGATCCTGCCTTTAGCCTTAAACTACGGCCAGAACGGTCGAAACCTATATAGACCTATATAGTACCTATATAGACCGAGTATGGTCATTCGTATCTTTTTCCTACAGGAAAACTGTTCCGCTTTTTGATTGTTCAACGAGTTTTTAGGCTTCATGATGCTCTTACGGCCGTAAATAAACAAACAAGATGGCGGCTCACCGTAACATCAATAAGAAGCTTTTGACTAAAATTTCAATTATACGGCAGTAACAATTTAAACTAATATATATCAACGAATAACACACGAAAAACACGCAAACAACAAAACAACACGTAAATAAACAAACAAGATGGCGGCTCACCGTAACATCAATAAGAAGCTAAATTTGACTAAAATTTCAATTATACGGCAGTAACAATTTAAACTAATATATCTACGAATAACACACGAAAAACACGCGAAAACATTGTTAAATCGCCTTTCACCTTTATCACAGGAGTATGTAAGATGTGCATGGCCTCAATCTTACTTGCTGATAACCGCCATCTTGTTTGTTTATTTACGGCCGTAAGAACATCCTGTCAGCCTATTTTCACACGACCAATGAAAAACCGGAACAGAAATGGCCATACTCTGTCTATAAAGGTACTCTAGTCGAAACTGTAGTACCGGCACAGGAAAACCGAAAAACAACGCGAGGACGCTACCTCAATATTAAACTTCCATCGCCTTGCTAAGGCGCAGGGATACAACTATTTGAACTCTCCGGAACGCGTGAGGTATCACGCCTCAATTGAAGGCGTTTTCGAATCTTCTGTATTTACATGACGAGACTTTCCCAATTTGTATGCATTTATTGTCGATCTGAGTTCCTTTTATTAATTAGTTAAATTATTCCTGCTTCTTAATGTTTAATTATTCTGCAAAAACCATCCACTTGCGGAATACACCCCTGGCTTTAGCTCCCTTAAACTACGGCCTTAACGGTCGAAACTGCAGTAGTGGCACAGGAAAGCCGTAAAACCAAACGGGGACGCTACTTCAATATTAAACATCCATCCCCTTGCTAAGGCGCAGGGATACAACTATTTGAACTCTCCAGAACGCGTGAGGTATGACGCCTCATTTGAAGGCGTTTTCGAATCTTCTGTATTTACATGACGAGACTTTCCGAATTTGTTTGAATTATATTGTAGATATGAGATCCTTTTATAATTTAGTTAATTTACTCCTGCTCTTTAATTTTTAATTATTCTGCAAAAACTATCCATTTGCGAAATACAACCCTGGCTTTAGCGATTTAAACTACGTTAGTTTTTCGCATTTTATTGTAGATTTGAGTTCCTTTTGTTATTTAGTTAAATTAGTCCTGCTTCTTAATTTTTAAATAAAATGGAAAAATTATCTTTATGCGAAATACAATCCTGGCTTTAGCGCCCTTAAACTACGGCCTGAACGGCCGAAACTACAGTAGCGGCACAGGAAAATCGAAAAACAACGCGGGGACACTCCTTCAATATGAACCTTCCATCGCCTTGCTAAGGCGCAGGGATACAACTATTTGAACTCTCCAGAACGCGTGAGGTATCACGCCATAATTGAAGGCGTTTTCGAATCTTCTGTATTTACATGACGAGATTTCCCAAATTGTTTTGCATTATACTTTAGATTTGAGTTCCTTTTATTATTTAATTAAATTATTCCTGCTTCTTAATTTTTAATTATTCTGCAGAAATTATCTCAGCGAAATACAATCTTGCCTTTGGCGGCCTTAAACTACGGCCTTAACGGTCAAAACTGCAGTAGCGGCACACAGGGGCGGACTGGTAGTCGAAAAGTTAGGAGAAGACCTAAATGTAAGGGCCCCTCCTGTTGTTCGGGGGCCCCCCTAAGAAGGTCCGGGGGCCCTCCCCCGGTAAATTTTGAAAATTTCACACTTTTTAAACACGTAGGCATTATTCTAGTTGGATTCTACAGTACTTGAACTTCAAAATAACCCATTCTCAGGATTCATCGGGGGTCCCTTCATCACAAATGCTTTTGGCGACCTTCCATGTCTCCTAGAGACAAATTTTCAAGGAATTCGGGGCCTTTTAGTGATTGAAAAGGATAAGAAAATTACAACATTACAGGTAAAAAACGATGACTCGAAAAAAATTCGCCGCGGGGGCCCCTTCGGGACCTCCGAGGCAAATTGTTAGAGGGCGATCACCTCCACGCCCCCATGGCCAGTCCGCCCCTGCGCACCACTTTTAAGTTTTATTTTTAATAAATGTTTTAAAAAAGCTACTCACAGTTTTTCTGAAAACTATCCTCGAATTTACCTAAATGATATCAAATAAAAGTATCGACAATTTCGACGCGATATTTTCGTTCGTTCTACTTTCTTTTAATGTAACCAAAAATAAATTAAATGCAATCCAAATTTCTGAATTGTTACAATGAGGATACATATTTTCCCTTTAATTATAGTAAAAACTGGAGCAGAAAGTCAAGAATGATATGATAATGAATACCCACGACCATTATTCAATCTTTTCACTTCATTTATCATCAGAAGGTAAGACATCGTTCAACAAACAACTGGTCAACAAACTTACCTAAACTAACGTTAACATAAAAATGCGTTTATTTTCCAACTGTTCCCTGTTTTGCCACTTGCCAAACTTCTACCTAAAATTAACTTAATTTTGAATTCGCGCATTCCTGTAGCAGATTTTAAGGTTGCTATTCGCGCAATCCTTGCGCCTCTTTCACGTAATCCTCATATATTTTCTTAGACCTTTCGAACAATCCTGGATTACCAGCCAGATTTCACTGATACATGAAACCGCTTTTTTTCCGAATATGTAGATTGTTTGCATGCATAACTTCTGAACACTACCTACAGGAAACTTTTCTGGGATAAATTTGTCAGTTTCACATTGTGAGCTAATCTAGACATCAACGTTTATATGTTTATTGAAACCAAAACCAAAGATTTGATTAAAATTGGTGAAGTGGTCTCTTTCATAGGTTCCTGTTAAATAAAAGAGAAGTCAAATTGTCGTCACCTACCTTGGTGGCAGGGTCATTTGGCTCAACATTTTCAGAGGATGTTTTGCTATCCAGCGAGGGAGAACACCCGACAAATGTGAAGCGACAAACACTGGAAAAAAACAACATTTTCATTAAATTAAAACAAGACGCTTCATAGGTCAAATTGCTTTCAAGGAGGTAAGCAATGCCGCTAAGGGAGCAGAATTTTCTGATGAGCCAGAAAAATTACTTCCTTTTTACATAATGAAAGTTAACAGTAGAAGCATCACCAATTGCTTTTGAGATTTCTTTAAAACTGTATTTTCACACAAATCAAAGCAAATTTTGCTAATTATTCTTGATATCCCTTGTTTGTTTCAGAGCGGGAACGAAGAAGCGGCTGAAGAAACGGGCTGGGGGAAGGGTTCGATAAGGGAGGAGGTTCCCGGGGGAACGGGGGTTCGTGGGGTTGGGAAAAATCCTGGAGTAGGGTATCCTGGGGAGGAGGTTCCCAGGGAAAGGGGGGTGCCGTGGGGTTGGGATGGCTCGGGGAGTAGGGTTTCCTTTCCAGGGGGGTTCCCGGGGAGAGGGGGGGTTCTGTGGAGTTGGGTAGGATCGCGGAATAGGGTTTCAAGGGGGGAAGGGTTGGCGGTGGAAGGATCACGGGGGAGGAGCAGGTTTTTTTTTTTTTTTTT